ATTCGCATATACGTGACCAAAGGAACAACTCCATGTTTTCTAAAAGGCCTAGAGAACATATATCGGGTGCCTCTCCTCTTTCCCTTTGTGTTTGTCATTTTGGCAAATTACTGGAAGATGGCGGTTCCGGCCGAAAGGGCTTTTTTTTGTATTTTATTTTGCATTTTACTCCTCAATGCTTATCCTCTGAGACCCATTTGGATTTCTTATTCATACTAGAGTGTGTCTAGGAATCTGTTGATTTGCTAATAGACTAAAATTTCTGTTTGAAAAAGTAAGTCTTCATGGGAATTTTGGCATAGTTTAGTTTCTCTGTTTATTTGTTTAATATTGTTAGTTCCTGAAAAATTTTCCTTCTTTATAGAAGTGCTGGTACTGCTTAGTGCTAAGGTATGCAGGAGGCCTGGCAAAGGCTAATTAAGAAATTAGTCTGTTGGCCGTGGAGATCTGGGCCCATGGAGTCAGATGGAGGCACCAGATTGTTAGTAAAGACTCTCAAGCAGATGCATTGCTTTTGTGGCCTCACACATCCCAGAGAGGCAGATTCTTATAAAGTTACTAGCTCTGATGAGTCAGGTGAATGTTTTGATCCATGGTCCCAGGCAATGATATTTGAGTTTAGGTTATGGGAAGACATCAGAGTTCCTGAGTTAGTGATCTTCACATTTGGAAAATGTGCTCCATTCTTCTCACAAGCCATCCAGGCACCATCCAGTAGTGGGCCATGGCTTGAAAGCAGCAACGTCGTGCAGACAGTCCTTGCTCTGGAGAGGACAGATTTTATCATTTGCTTCTGCAGGTAGTAAATATTCAGCTGTTTGCTGCTTTGTGAGTGTTCTTGTGACCTTTGCCCCTGACAGCATCCTCTGGCACATTCCTAATGTACAGCTTGATGAAGCAAGACCTACAGTACGTATTTATGGAAGTTACTCTTTCTTGATGGGAGTTATTCAAGCCATGGCAACTGCCGGTTACACCTGCCAACAGACTTCACACAACACCTTTCATCTTTTAATCTTTTCTCCCCTGTGCCATCTTCCTACTTCCAACAACCTATCACCCAATATTAATAGTGTTTGTTTAATGGATATACTCACTATTGATGCTTACCGTGTGCAAAGAATTCTGCTAAACACCTCGCTCTACTTTGATTGGGAATGGGAGCTGGAGAAGGCATAGAAGTAGAAGCCATGCCTCTCCAGTGTGAAATTCTTTAGTGAGGAAAGGAAATAGCTTTTTCTGCCTTAAGCAGTTTAAAATAGGCTTCCTGCTATATGAAAATAGTGAAAAAAGAACATAATGGGATGTAAAATATTGGTGTGGCTTCTAGAGAAAAAAAAAAAAAAACATGTTTCAAATGTCAATTACATTTTTCTCTGATCTCTTTAAGTATGTGGCCAAAGAATGAGCCTATATAGCACCATGGCAGATAACAAGATGGCCATGAGCATGTAGCATCATAGTTTTTAAAAATTCAGGCATACTCAAATAGCAGTGCTGACCAGTCCAACTCTGAATGTGAACTTGTTGTGTTTCACATTTTTGTGATGTGTTTTTAAACCATTCCACTTAGATCTGAAAGGGGACATGGAGAGCTCAGCTAGGGTCAATGGAGGACCACACAGGTGGTGGTGATGGGGTAGGGAGTCTATTTAGGAAGACTAAATGAACCAGGACAATTTGAACATGAAGAAAACTGGAGACCATTTAAATGACAGATTTCAAGAGTATGAAAATATAAGCAAATGCAAATGGCTGTAGTCATAACCTGAAAGAAGAGTTTCTTGTCACACTTTTTAAATACTAGGATGGGTTGTAAATTATTTTTATGAGAGTAAAAAAAATAACACTGGAATAATGTATCTTAGAAGGTAACATGCCCAAAGGTAACATGTAGAGTGGAGAATAAACATCTTGAGATATCTTCCCACTCTATAACTCTGTATTACCTTGATTACATAGGCAGAAGTACAAACTGTACATGTAAAATCAGTTAAGTGAACTTTAATTATGTCAAATTGGTGTAATAGGCTGAACAGAACTTTAGCTTGTACATTAAGAGAATGCAAAACATTGCTTTTGAAGGCGCCAATAGAAGTTATAATTCGTAGCGTTTTGTTGATCTAAGGACTTCACATATTTGGCCCCTCGTTAAGTACAGCTTTAAACCTAGTATAGGTTACCTTCCAATGCAGAGTTGATGATTTCTGCCTCAAATTTCAGTCAAAGTAAACTGAGGTTTTAGTTCCAAAATAAGTTTATGCAAAGGGCTTGAAAATTCAAAATTAGCAGGTCTGCTTACTGGCATGCATGATCCTTTGATAAATTTATTCTCTGCCTAACACAAACCATACTATACATAATGGGTGTTCCTGTTACTCATTTTTTTAATATAATGCCCTTACCTTCACAGTGGAAAACAGTGACATCCAGTAAAACTAAGGAACCATACTTCATAGTGTACACACCAAAAAGTTGGATAAGCACTGAGCTATATCCTTGAACCCCATGGAACAAAGTTTAGGGACCACTTTTAGTATTTATTGAGAGCAACAGCTTCTCTCTGTCATAGAGTAATGGCTCAATCTGGTGACTGTTCTCTTTAGATTGGCTTTATCAGAATAATCTCTACTTTAGGCTGTAAGTCTGAGGGAGGGGACGATACCATGGGACAGGTAGATGGAAGTGTGCAGACATCATAACAGCCGAGTTTTGAGAAGAGCAAGTGTTTTGGTAGTTGTGGCTCATCTCCGTAAAACAGTTTGTCCTCCAATTATGTTGCGATTTAGGCACAAAGTATCAGTGGAGAATTGAATAGAGAAAGCTGAGCATATCACCACTTATCCAGCACCAGAGAGTCGGGTATTTTATTTCTTTTGTTCTGAATCTTCATCAAGGCTGTGCTCTGGAAAGACCCCCCAGGGATTTTTCTTAGGAAGAAATCATTTACCACAAGTGGCATCATTTATTTTGGGAATGATTCATAGGCTGCCACATAAATACTAATGATGTGCATAACAATCTGTTTCACCTTGGTATCTGCACAGAAGTCACAGAGATGCCGGCTTTCTGTATGAGAGAAGCTGCTCTTTACCACATAGCGGGATTTGGTAGTCAGGTGTGCCTGCTTATTCTTTTTTTGTTTCCCCATATTGCCTTAAATGACCCTGGATTTAAAAAAAAGAGAGAGAGAGAGAGAGAGAGATAGCCAAAAAAGATAGTGGGGCAGGTGAAATATTGCTAATCACAGTCACCAGTACATACAGCAAATAGATGGTTATTTCTGATCAGAATGGAGATATGTCATGTGATGCATATTTGAGTTAAAACTCTCAGTGGGGCACCCTACCATGTACCTGAAGAATGCAAAGACATAGTCTTGCATTTTCAGGTTATTTACAGTCTGATAGCACTGCAGGTAAATAAAAATACAAAGAATTATCTTTATTTTCCTGACATGTACAAAATGTGATGTTCAATAAGCAGTGGCCTCCAATTCATTAGGCACTGAGGTACGAACATGCCTGGGACTTGGTGAGTGACCTTGAAGATTTTGGTCTGGAGAGTCAACTGCAATGAAGAGTGGGTTAGACTATCCCTTTTCTCTCTGTTTTTACTACTACCATCTGGTCTAAGCTACGGCCAACACCTCTCCTGGGCTATTGCCGTAGAAGTTCCAGAAGGGTTTCCCTGCTTTCATACCCATTCCTGCCATGACCTCTTTGACCTGCAGCAGTTGGAGAACATTTTTTATAATGCAGGTCACATCTTTGACTCCCCTGCTTCGTGTTTACAAAGCCTTGTTCACCAGTCTCCATAATCTGCACTTGCTTTCGTCTCTGATTCCATGTATAGATATACCACAGTTTATCCGTTTTCCTGCTGAGGGACATTTGGGTTGTTTCCAGTGTTTGGCTATGACAAATAAATCTGCTCTGAACATTTGTATACAAGCCAATGCTTGGTATCCTTAGTATTTTTAATTTAATTTTTAATAGTAGGTGTGTAATATCTTATTGTGGTTTTAATTTGCATCTCCCTGATGACTAGTAATGTTGAACATCCTTTAATGTGCTTATTTTCCATCCACACCTTCTTTAGTGAAGTACCATTTGTTGAAAAGACTGTCCTTTCTCCATAGCATTGCCTTTTCACTTTTGCTTATTAATTTAGCTTTCTTTTGTTGAATTTTGAGAGTTTCTAAATGTATATTCTTGATACAAGATTTTTGTTGTTGTTTGTTTGTGTGTGTTCAGAGTCTCACTCTGTCTCCCAAGCTGAGTGCAGTGGCATGATCTCAGCTCACTGCAACCTCTGCCTCCCGGGCTCAAGCAATCCTCCTACCTCAGCCTCCTGAGTAGCTGGAACTATAAGCATGCTACCACACCCAGCTGGTTCCTGTATTTTTTGTAGATACAGGGTTTCACCATGTTGCCCAGGCTGGTCTCAAGCTCCTGAGCTCAAGCAATCTGCCCACCTCAGCCTCCCAAAGTACTGGGATTATAGGCATGAGCAACTATGCCCGGCAGATACAAGTTTATCAGATATGATTTGCAAATATGTTCTCACAGTTTGTGGCTTGTCTTTTCATTTTCTTAAAGAGCGTGAGTTTTTCATGAAGTCCTACTTATTAACTTTGTCTTTCATAAATTGTGCTTTTAGTGTTATATATAGGAAATCTTTGCCATAACCCAAGGTCATAGTGATTTTCTTCTTTGTTTTCTTCTAAAAGTGTTGTAATTTTAGGCCTTTACATTTAGATATATCATCCATTTCGATTTATTTTTTGTGTATAGTACAAAGTATGAAATGAAGTTCCTCTGTGTGCATGTGGATATCCAGTTGTTCCGGTACCATTTGTTGAAAAGACTGTCCTTTCTCCATAGCATTGCCTTTTCACTTTTATTGAAAACCAGTTTCCACATACGTACAGGGCTTTCCAGCCTCTCTATTCTGTTCCATTGATCTATGTGTCTGTCATGATGCCAGTATTACATTGTCCTGATTACTTTAGTGTCTTGATCAATTTGTGCTTGTTGTGACACAATACCTGAGACTAGGCAATTATCAACCACAGACATTTTTTCATACAGTCCTGGAGGTGCTGATCAAGATCAAGACACTGGCAGGTTCAGTATCTGCTCAGAGCCCAGTGTGTGTTTCCAAGATAGTGCCTTGATGCTGCATCTTCCAGAGAGATGAATGCTGTGTCCTCATATGGCAGAAGGGCAAAAGAGCCAAGCTAGTTCCCAGGTCCCTTTTAGAAGGCACTAAATTCATTTGTGAGGTTGGAGCTCTCATGGCCCGATCTCTTTCTCAAGGGCCCACCTCTCAATACTTTTGCAATGGGGATTAGGTTTTAACATGAATTTTGCAGAGTACATAACCATCAACCATATTACATTTAGTTTTACAAGTCTTATAATCAGATAGTGTAAGTCTTCCAACGTTTTTTTCCCATAGTTGTTTTCGCTCTTCTAGCCTTTTGAACTTCCATATGAGTTTTATAATTAATGTGTCATATTCTACAAAAAAAAAAAACCCACTGGAATTTTGATTGAGATAGCATTAAATCTATAGATTTATCCATTACAACTGTGACTCTCTTGTTATTTTAGTGGTTTCATTTCGTTATTTTAGAGTTTATAGCCTATATCTTTAGCATACTCTACCTTCAGGTAATATGCTACTTCATGTATAGTATGAGAACTGTCCAATAGTTCACTTTCATTTCTCCCAACATGCTACTGTTGCTATACATTTTACTTTTTCATATTTTATAAACTCAATACTATATCATCTTCATACCATATTTGTTGTACAGGACTAGAGCATTGCTTGTCTAGGGCTAATTATTCTTCACTAATGAAGTGGGACTTTTCTGTGTATTCTACTCAGTGCCCCAGGAA